AGTTCTAAACAAGCTCCACCCACGGTATTTGGCTATTGATAATCTTTTGATCCAGCACATTCTCTGCTTTCTTCTATTTGTTTGTTTCTGGGCCATTGGTTTCTGCTTTGCATTGCTTCTTTGCACTGGTACAGGGATTAAAGCCAGGGCCACGCATGTGCTAGGTAACGGTTCTACAGTGAGCTACATTCCCAGCTTGAAGAAAGATGGCCAAATGTCCTGTAGCGTGCCCCACACTGAGACTTGGCTAAAAAAATAATTTTAAAGAGAAAAAAGCAGCGTTGTGAACATGATTCTGTAACACTGGCCTGCCTGGACATCAGCAAAATGTGAAATTCCTATCAATACTTATGAGTAAAAATCTATAGAGTAATGAGATTTTGACTTAATCCAGACTAATCAGATATAGTAAATTTTGTTCCATTTTTTGAATTTGTTTGAGATGAAAAAGAAATTAGGTCATGCAGCATCTGGCTTTTCAAAGAACAATTGAAACAGGACATTTAAGGAAAGTAACTAAAGAAATATCCTCCATTGCATACCTTACATGAACACCATTATATTGACTATGAATTGAACACAAATTATAAAAGGCCAGCAAGGATTAAAAGTGGGCTTTGAAATTTGAGAATACGGTGTTTGGATTCTGTTCCCAGGTAAGAGATACTGCTGGATTTCTAGAAAGAACAAGATGCTCAGATAAAATTGGAGTGCTCAGATAAACAACAAACACTTTTTTAAAGCATAAATACATCCCACAAAATATATGGGACAAATTTACACTAAAATTATTCATTGTATATCTGAAATCAAAATTTATCTAGGTATCTTATATTTTTATTTTATAAATCTGGCAACCTATGGGTAAAATCTTTGCTTCATCTGCAGAGAAGACCTGAGGATGAAGTATAGTGCTGAGGGGGAGTATAGGAAAGCACTGTCACCCCTTGACCCCTCTTTCTTTCCTTCGATCTGGATTCTGCATTTGTTGTCTGTTTTTGAGTCAGGTCTCCCTGTGTTGCACAGACTGGAGTGCAGTAGCTATTCACAGGTGTGGCACGGTTCCTGACCTTGGCAGGATCAGCCCTCCTCCGGCAGCCCGGTGGTCGCGTGTTCCCTGGAGGTCAGCAGGCTGATGTGGAACTTGGTGCGGATATGTGGAAATTCAGCACAGCACTCTGTATGCAGCAAAGAACTCTTGGACATAGAGGCTCCTCCTACCTCAGACGGCCTAGTAGCTGGGACTACAGACACTCCCTGGCCTGGTTTCCACGTTTTTGATTTGATAAACTTGACCATTACTTGTACTGCCCCTCCTCACATATAGCAGCACAAGAATGTGGCCTTTTTCTCTGTCCTTGCTGGCCAGCATGCTCTAGTTTTACCTGGGTAAAGGAGATGGATGAATTGCATTAATAGTCTCAACTTTTTACTCCTCCCTGTGCCCTCACCCTTTGGCAGTGCCCCCGTGCTCCCTGCCACCACACTGCCCTCAGGGCTTGCCCATGTGTCTTTGTTCAAGGGATCAAAAGCAAGTTTAACAAAACAAAGTTTGAAAAATGTGTGCAAAGTTCTGCTTGCCTTGTTGCACAACTGAGGCCTCTTTTTTGGACCTGTTCCACTACCTTAAGACCATGCCTCGGCTGGCCCCCTGGAGGACTCCCTGGGACATGGCAGGGGAACCAAGTCTTCAGCTTGGTCTAGAGGGCCACCCTAGATCAGCTTATTCCATAACTAACAAGCCACTGGCCGCAGACTCATCAATAAGCCCAGCCCAGATCCACAGAGCCGCTCAGCTGACCCACAGACTCAAGAGAACGGCTTGTTACCTCAAGCCATTAAGTTTTGGGGTAGTTTATTACACAGCAATAGTTGATCAATACAGTGGGGAAGATGCATCTCATACCTAAGTTAAACAGGATCAACATATTCCTGCATAAAAGGAGCTCCATGAACTCTCATCAGAAGGATGACAGCATTTTGTTTTCCCAGAAAATATTCTCAGTTTCTGATGTTCAAATGAGCCCTCTTAAAAGCCCCCCAACTCTGCTGCTTGCCAAATGCAAGTGAGTGATAACAGTCACTGATCTGGAAAATTCTAAGCCAAACCTTAATATGTCTCCTCAGTCATGAGCTATGAGGAAAATTATTTCAAGGCCAACGGAGTTTACATTTGGGTCAGAAGATTCTGGTATCGCTTAAGTGGTCCAGATTGATACCATTATTTTATGAACCATGAAATTGGGAGCTCCTCTCTGATATTTTTGATCTAGCAGCAAAAGCTGACTTCATCATTTCAATCCAAGCATGAATACTTCAATGATTACAAAAAGAGAAAGACACGAGAGGAGGAAACCACAGAAGAACAAACGTTGTTCCAGAGAAAAGATTAAGCCGGTAAAAACGGAGGAGATGAGAGAAAAGAGCGGGTCTTCAGGTTCCCTGGAAACCCACCTGAGAGTGCAAAGGGAGCCATCAGGACCAAGATCAGAGAACTACACACAGCAGTGAATTCAATTGTCTTTTAAATTAAAAAATAAAATATTCCTGGAGTCAATTAGAGCTGGATCCAGTCCTGACTCTTGTAATTGAATATGGGGAATGATTTGGGGCTGTAGCTTATATTGATGAAGAGACAATATGTGATGCACGCTCTTTTTGCTACAATGAATTTGTTTTAAAATTAATTCAAGTGTGTATACATTCTTTCAAGCTTGAGATATATATATATTAGGTCCTCCTAAAGCCAGTAAATAATAAAAATGATCTTTTAATAATTTGTTTTTCTGAGTGAAACTCACAGACATTTATTTTAGTATTACCATCTGAGAAAATGTATCCTATGGTCTATGGTTTAGAGCTCAGAAGTCGATTAACTTTTTTAAACTACTAAAAGTGAGGTTGGAAATTTTGTCAAATTACCCGGCTATTCCCCATAAGGACACCAGCCTAATCAAATTACAACAACAAATAAATCACGGATGATGAAAAATCTTTGACTTAATTGTGGTGAAGATTTGGGAAAGGCTAGAAATATAGCTCAGTGGCAGGGTGCACAAGGCCCTGGTTTGATCCTGTACACTAAAAAAGCAAGCAAGCAGGCAAGAAAGAGTAAAAGAAAGAAGGAAAGAAAAGAAAGAAAAAAAGAAAAGAAAAGAAAAGAAAAGAAAAGAAAAGAAAAGAAAAAAGAAAAGGAAAGAGAAGAGAAGAGAAAAGAAAAGAAAGATCTGGAGTATAGGTGGGTAAGGGCTAAGCACAGGTATTGTCTTCATATCTTGGAAACTTCATTCCTTACTTTTCTTCGTACAGGTCTTGCGCCTGACACAGGTCTCTGGAATGGATAGAAACTGCAGGGAGAGGGCTTGAGGAATTCAAGGTCCTTTCTCTTACTTTACAAAGACAAAGCTGCATGCAGCCATGGTCGCAGCCCATGGGCGACAGGTCCCATTCCTAGAATCACCTTTAACCAACGGATGTTCTTTGAGTACTGTGGTAACAAGTTTCCTACAGCATTGTTCATTTTTACTGATTTTATTATCATTGGCTTGAGTTTAAAAAAGATAGAGGAAAAAGAAGAGCAAATTACTGAGGTGTGCTTGGAAATGTAAAAGGGTGTATCCAGCAGACATTTCACCACCGGCTCCAGTTTTCCTTTGAATTGCACAGTTAAGATCACAGAACAATATAGGAAATGAGCCAGATTACATGGTACATTAAAATAAACATGAGTTATTTCCTCAACCCCGCAACCTAGGCAGTGCCACGGACCACTGCCTTTGCATGAGATGGAGAAATAGTTTCCATGTTTTGGAGAAGTTCTAGCTTAGTCCTTGGAAATTATATTTGGACTCCTTTATTCCATTTTCATTATACTTGTCTCCCTTGTTAACATATTTTGTACAGTACAAGGCTGAAGCCTGTTCCCCCTGGCCACTAGTTCTTTAACACACTGTGTCAGGTTTTATGAAGTTTATCAAAGATCAGGATATTTTCCTGGTATTCAGGAATTGAAAGGCATACCAAAAATTTCTTGGGGATGACGTTGGTTTTATTTTCCTTACAGGAGGAAACAGACTGCCATTACTATCATTCTTAGGAAATTAGGTTTATTTATGTCCATTTGTATTATAAATATGAATCATTTCAAGTTAATTCAATATATTTTCTTTAGGTTGGCTTTTGAGGTCTGTAGTAACCAACAGAGAGTAAATGGATACAAGATCCAGCTGCCATAAACTATATTTAAAAGAATTTTCTCCCTGCTTCTCTCTCACTTACCCTTGGTGTGTCTCTTCTGCAGAATATTTTTCAGGGGTCAGTTTAATGTTCCTTTAAAATCAGTTAGCCTAAGGTCATAACTAGAAGTATGTAAGACCTCTTTGTCAGGTAGCTTAGTCCTGAGGTCAGCTTCATAGAGATACAAGAAGCAATAATTCCTTTAAGTAAAGTTCATTATCTTGCTTGGTCTAGCCAAAAATGGCAGGAGAACAGTGCTCCCCCTAAACCTGAAAAGTCTGCATCCTTTTAAATAAAATACTTTCCTTATTAAACAAAATAAGAGAATCATTAACTAGACGGCACTTTATACCGCGTTGAGGATATCTCACACATTGAACTATGGAAAAACCAAGGTTTTCAGAAGGCAAAATGTACATTTTGCTATATTACTGAAACTGAGACGTATAGCCTGCAAGTTTATTATGCAGAGTGCAATATATCTAAATAATACTAAAAGTGCTTCTCTGCCTGTGGAGCTGTAGTTATGCCTTGCTTCTACTGTTTTGAAAGCTGTTATGATTTAGATATTTCCCCAGTCTTCTGAGAAAAGATTCCATGCTCTGGGTTTTCTTCTACCTGAATAGAATCACCTTCCCCTGTCAGGAAGTGGGGAGCACACATGTGTAGCTTAGATGCTTTAGCAGCTGGTTTATCTGTCCTGCCAATTTACAATGTCGATAATCTGTCACGCTGTAAAACTTGATCTTTTTTATCCTTCTTAGGTACCAGCAGAAGGCTGCCAAACTTCTCTAAGATGAAGAAACTGAAGCGTGGAGGTGTTTGGAGGTTGACTGACCCTCTATCTGTCTGCCATAGCCACATTGTGGTCCTCTATTAAGAGGGCCTCCCTAAGCTCAAGTCTGTTGCGGTGCCTTTTGCTTCAGACTTCCACTGAACTGAGGGTATGTGGTATGCGTGGCTTTCTATGCTAAGCCTGGGAAAATTCCAGGGACACTGGGTGAGTCAAACCATACAGCGGTCCTTTGCTTCTCATGCCTCCACTTAAGATATTCTGGATTCGTGCTGGTGTAAAAGTGCGCCTGTGGGACCATCCTGCTTTTTCACCTTCAGTACAGTATCTAAAGAAGTATGTGACATGTTCACTAATTTATTATAAAATAAATCTTGTATTAGACAGTTTTGCCCAACTGTAGGCTAATGCAAATGTTTCAGGTAGGCTAGGCAGAGCCAGGACGTTTGCTACATTAGGTGTGTTACATGCACTTTCCACTTAAAATGTTTTCAACTTATGTTCACTAGGACATAAGCCATCATAAGGTGAGGAACAGCTGTGCTCCATGAAGCCAGGAGCCTGGCTTGTTTCTTGGTGTTTCCACAGGCCTCAGAAGAGAGCCTGGCATGTGGTAAATATTTGATACCTGAGGAGATAAGCACTATGAAGAGTCAGTTCTGGTAAGAAGAGGCAGAGAGGACAAGCAGCCTAGTTTGCAAAGACAATATTAAGCAAAGGAGGCCAAAGACACAGCATCCAGAGTGTAGCAAGGGCAGCAGGGGCATTTCCAGCAGACCACTATGGTGGGATTGAAGGCATTTTCTTGGCTCTGCAGCCTGTGAGCAGGTTCCTGAGCCCTCACAAATGTGTTATGGACTACCTAATGTGACTGTAATAAAGCTGGGACTTTAAAAAAAGTATGAGAGAAGTGAGGGCAGCTTGGACCTGCACAGTTAGATGCGATGCAGCTGAGATTCCACCTCTGGGGGAGATTGGAGGACAGCAGCCACGTAACAGACAGATGAAAGGAGGGTGAGACCAAGTTGAGAGAGACTGCCAGTGAGGCCAGCCAGTGTTCTAAGCTTTGTCCTGAAGTCATGAGGATTTATTTCAACTACAGTCACGGCAGTCATCAGGAGGACAAAAGGTCTGGCTAGAGAGGGGCTGAGATGAAGACTAAAAATGCCTGAAGATGATTCCATCCAGTGTCTGCTCCCAATTACAGTGCAGAAAGTCTCAGCAGACCATAGCTGTCATCCTAATGACCAAATCAAACCAAAAACCATATTAAAAAAAAAAAAAAACTCAGAGAACTGAGGATGTGAAGAAACTAAAGGACTCAAATTCGAGAAACAGACCCATGATAGGAAAGGAGAGGCTCCCGGTTGCTCTTTCCCTGAAGAGAAGGACAAGCAGGGAAAGCATGCAGCTGGATTCTGGACACACATAAAGGCTATGCGACAAACATGACAAGTGGAAACTCTGTGGAGATGCAGCTCACAGTGAACCTGCACCCCTTGCCCTCACTTTCCTATGGGTCTTCAACAGGGGCACCTGGAAGACTTGTTTAAGGTAGAAGCAAGGCAAGAGAATAGAGACAGATCTTTCCTCAGACAAATGGGGTCTCTCAAAGGTAAGGACAGAGCAAGAGAAACAAGAGAAATCTGTGTTCAGACTCTCTGGTCTACCAGCCACCAAGAGCTGCTCATGAAACAGGAGAGCCACGAAAGCATCAGAGGCACCAGGGGCTGCCAGCATCTGATACAGGGTGGGACAGAGAACCTGTCCAGAATCCCTTCACTGAAGCATCCTGGGGGCTTCACAGCAAGTAAGGTAGAATACTCTACAGACTGGGAGGACAGAGATCGCTCAGAACCCAACAAACTGAGCACACAACTAGAAAAAAACAATGACCTACCACAGAAGCTACTGATTTCTAAAGCTGAACTAGCTCTCTCAGCACTTCAAAGCCAATGGCTCTGGTGAAAAGTACAGGGCTGTTCAGACATTTTCAGCCCCAAAATATGCCAAGGGAAAGAAAGCCTGCTCCTAATTTCAAAATATGTAGTATCAGTGATTAAGTTAGTCAAATAAGTTATAGCTAAGCCCAGATTCAGTTCAACTACAGATCAAAGTGAAGTAGCAGCCTGGCGGAAGAGAAGTATACCTTGTTTTCAAGGTAACTACTACTTACTGTAGTCTCTATTGGGCTGCTGTTTGTTTTGTTCTGTTTTATTTTTTGGTGTTTTGTTTTGTTTGATGCCAGGGTTTGAACTTGGAACCCAGAGTCATGTATATGCTACTCACTCACTCTACCACTGAGCTATGCCCCAATCCTCTTTATCTAAAATCTACTACACACAGTGACAGCTGTGTGTTACACAAAGGGATGAGAAATGTGACTCATAGTCAAGAGAGGAAAGAGTCAACCAAAGTACACCTAGGGATGGCTGAGATGATGAACACAAAGAGCAAGGAAGGAAAAGCACAGAACAGAGCATCTGAGATCTGTGTGACAATATAATATCATGAAATGAAAATTCATACATGAAATGAAATTTCGTACATGAAATTTGATTCCCAGAAATCAGGTAGAGAGAAAATGGGGCAAAAAAAATTTATGAAGAGATAACATTAAGAACGATCCCAAATGGACAAATGATAGATCCTAGAAAACTCAACTAACCCAAAGTAGGCTAAGCACTAAGAAAACCACAGCTAGGTATAACGTAATTAAACCCCTACAAATAAAAGATAAAGGCATCCAGAGAAAAAGACACATTATCTGTAGGAGCACACAATATAAATAATAGGTGACATTACCAGGAAAAATGGAGGCCAGAAGATAATAAAGTGACTTTATTTCACTTCAGTACAGGGGATTTAACCTAGGACCGTCACACTGAACTATATCCTCAGGCCTTTTATTTTTTACTTTGAGACAGGGTTTCTTTAAGTTGCCCAAGCTAGCCTCAAACTTTATAATCTTCCTGCCACAGTCTCCTCACAAGCTGGGACCATGTAACCCTGTACCTAGCTTGAAATGACTTCTTGAAAGTGCTGAAAGATGGCTGGGACACAGCTCACAAGGAGCGCGATTGATTACAAGGCCTTGGGATCAAGCCCAGTACCAATGGAAAAAAAATGTGCTGAAAGGCAGCATCAGGGCCTTGTGCATGCTAGACAAGCAGCTTACTCCTGAGTTACATACCAGCCCCCAGGTTTTATCTTGACTGCCAGCATAGTGTTGTCATCCAAAAATACCCAACCAGTGTCGTCATCAGGTATTTAGAGCTGGAATAAATCAATAGACAGGATGAGCTCTTGGTGAGAAGAAGCAGAGGCCTGAATAACACAGTAACTGGGTAAAAGGTAGAAGCCAATAAAGGAAATGGAGAACGCATTCAGAGGAGTAGCTGCACTGCAGAGCTTCCAGTACAGATGCTATTGGCTTTGGGGCTGGGAAAACTCAGTGCCTGAGACTGTGCTCCACTGCAGGGTGTTCTGCATTCTTAGCTCCTCGTGTAAATTTAGCTAGCGTTCCCAAGTCACATTATATCACCCAAATAATGCCCCTTGTGTCCTACATATCTAAATGCTCCTGAAAGCACCATACCACTAGTATGAAAGGGTTTCCCCACCTTGGCGACATTGACATTGGGAACACAGTTCTCTGTTGTGGGTGGCTGTCGTGTGCCTTGGAGGATGCTTAGCAGGATTCCTAACTCTAATCAGTCAGTGTCAGCAACCCTACTCCCCATCATGATGGCCCAAAATACATCCAATATCACAAATGTCCCGCAGGTACAAATATTTCACCACGTCCTCCAACTGAGAATTACATGGGTTAAGATAGAAAAAAAAAAGTCAGTCTTTTAAAAGAGGCCATGAAGAGCACTCTTGGAAACAAAGAGGTAAAGAAGAACGCTTTTGAAGAAAAAGAAACTTTAATTACAGAAATGGAAACTGAAGTCAAACTGCAGCATGTTAAGGAGAGAGTGAGTCCAGTCCAAAATGCACCAGTGATGTTGAATATTGATTGAAGATGCAGAGAAAGATGGCGGGTAAGTCCAAATGGGATAAAGAGGTTTCACTTCTTACCTCAGCCCCAATGCCGAAATGAATTCCAGAAGGATCAATATTAAATTCAGAACCTGAAATCACAAAGATGTTGGAAGAAAATGTGAGAAGGTCCTTAAAAAATAATACAGGTATATAGAAGAGCTTTTAATACATTATAGAATCAAAATTCCATGTATGAAAAACAATGCTAATTATGATTACATATAATTGTAAATTCTGCACGGAAAACGTGACATACAAATAAAAAAACAAATAAATTCTGGAAAAATTGTCATGCACTTTTTGGACAAAGAACTATTTTTGTAACTGTACAAAGCATTCATAAGCAGGAAAGAAAAAAATAGAGAAAAAAATGTGCAAAGAAAAAAGATTAGGCAGTTTATGTCAAGAGGGGTACAATAAATTTTTATAATTATAAAGATATAAATCAAAATATTGAGATGCCTTTTCATCAACAGATAGGCAAACGTTTAAAATATTGATCACATTCAGTATCAGTGAGCATATAGTAAACTAAAGTTAGTATCCTCTTAGAGGACCTTTAGGTTGGCGACATCTCTGTGCAGGACAATTTCAGGACATGCTTTAATTTTAAAAATATACAAATCTCTCACCCAGCAAGTGCACCCTGAGGTCCTTATCCAGGGCAGTTGAAGGAAGCCCACACCAAGTCAGGCACAGCAGGGTGGCCCCTAACACCTGGTCCCCAAAAGAAAACACTGGCTGCAACCTTAGGCATCTCATGGTTGCCAGCCAGTTACGTAGCTTAGGGGACAGCTTTTCTGAAATGAAATTAGTAAAAAAAAAAAAAAAAAAAAGTTATAAAAACTTAATTCACCACATATATGATTAAGTGTAAACCACATTAGCAAAATGATTATCTTCAATTTCTTAAATAATAAGCAATATTCTTGCAAGAACAAACTATGAGAACAGGAGATATAGCGCAGTGGCACAGTGCCTGCCTGGCAAATACAAGGTCCTGAGTTCAATT